TTTTTTTCCTTTAACTTGTTAGATGTTAAATTGCTGTATTGAAAGAAAGAAAGCAAGGGATGAAGGGAGAAGAGGGAACACATCTGATCGTTCCCCTGGGGCTTCTTCTGGTGATGCTGGGAAAGGAGGAGACCACTCTAGAGAAAATCCAAAGGAGACTGATAAAGAAGTTGGCAAGTCTTGGGAATCATGGAGTGACAGTGAGGAGGAATTTTTTGAATGTCTGAGTGACACAGAAGATCTGAAAGGAAACGGGCAGGAAAATGGAAAGAAAGGAGGAGCAAAAGAAGGCAGCAGAGAGTCTGTAAATATAAAACCAGAAGGTCGTCTACATCCACACGGAAAGTTGACATTGCTTCATCCGGGAGAGCCTCTCTACATTCCAATAACCCAGGTTAGACAGCAGGAGCTGGACAGGATGTGCAACAGGACTGTCATGTGATATGACTCCTCCTTAGGATTGTGAAACTATGTCTGGTTTGTAGTTATAGCTGTATTTATTCTTAAAATTGCTAAATTTTTCAGGTTATGACCTCATTTTCCTTTTTAAAATCTGATGAGGCTGTTTAAAATGAAATTCTCCCGTTTACATAATCAGAAACTGTTTAGTTACCTAACCCATACTGAAGACCAAAATAAAGAAGCTGAATGTAGGCTGCAGAGGCATTTTCTGGAAATGTTTTTGAGTGTTCATTTTTTAACTCAAATATGTTTAGTTTCAAATAAGATTGAAGTAGTTTGCCATGAGAATTCAGTTATGTGGCTGTGTGCTTCAGCATAAAAACTGTTATGCTGGTTGCACTGAGCTCTGTATACGAACTGAAGACAATACCTTTCTCTTGATTTTATAAATACGTATGCGTACAGGGGTGGGTATATCTGATTTCTTTTCGGTAAAAATGAATTTTTGGGTAACGGTGCTTTCAGCCCCTTCTTCCTGAGTAAGGCTGAGGAGAGATTATTTGTGAGCTTTTCTCTTTGCACATTGCAGGAGCCAGCCCCCATGACTGAGGATTTGCTGGAGGAACAGTCCGAGGTACTGGCGAAGCTGGGGACGTCGGCAGAAGGCGCTCATCTTCGGGCCCGCATGCAGAGCGCCTGCTTGCTCTCGGATATGGAATCTTTTAAGGTAAAATACTTGAAGAATTCTGAGACTGCTTTTCTCTTAATTAAATTATCTCTTTTCTTTGGGGACTAAAACTTTTAAGGCTTTTCTGAGGGTTTTATGTCCTTCCCCCC